CTCATGTTCATGATAAGGGTTGTAAAATAATTCATTGAAAGAGAAAGCAGCTCTGAGGCTTGCTATAAATAAGCTGTATAGCAGATAATTCACTTTCTTATTTTCTCTGTTTAATTAACCAATTTTAATGTACATTAATAATTTACTTGCATGCATATAAGGTAAGAGCACCACATTTGTGCAGGGCTATAGAGGCCAGAAAAGGGTGTCAAATCCATCAAAAGTGATAGAACTGGAGTTACAGAAAGCTGTGAACTGCTACGTGGATGTAAGAAACGGAACCCGGTCCTCTACAAGAGCAGCCAAGAGGACTCTTAACTGCTGAGTCACCTCTCCAGGCCTCTAATGTTTTCTAAGGTTAAGAAGAGTAAATATAGGTAAGGCCAAATATTATAAAAAACATAATATAATCACTAGAGATGGCACCAAAGAATTTTGGGGCTAATAATAATTCCAGACACAAAATTTCAAATTTCTATTTTTTAAAAAAAACACTCCTTTTCTAATTAAAAGAAGATGCTAACTTCATGATGCTATAACATCCTATACAATTTGTGCTTCTTAAAGGCTTCTCTGTGCTGTTTTAAGAAAGACATAGCTGCCTCGAAGTCTCACCTATGTCACCAACCAACTTAAGTTAAACAAGATAACAGAGCTGATCCCAGGAACCCGCTAGTAACAACCATTGTGGCTCCCGACTTCACCTCGGCACATCAACAGAATGACCAGACATATTACTGGGAGCTGAACATCCCATCTTTTATCCACACTGCTCGGGACCAGGATCTTTTCAGATTTACGATATTTTTGTACTTTAAAATATTTGCATAAACCTAATATGATCTTCTAAGAACGGAAAGCAAGTCTAAATACAAAATTCATTGGTTCCATATACACTGTATGTACACAGTCCTAAGTAATTTTGCACAGTTCTTTGAAGGCAACTGTATTTCACAGCAACTTATCACCTGAGGCCAGGTGTAAAAATTTTCCACTGTGGCATGTCAACTTGTGGCATGGAGTTTGGGTTAGGGTTGTCCATCTGTATCTCTTCTTCTCCCCCTCCTCCTCTTTCTTTTTCTTTCTTTCTTTCTTTTTTTTTTAATATAGAGGGCAAGCAACTCTCCTTGTCACCCAGGCTGAACTACACTGATATGCCCTTGACCCTGCTGCTCTCCAGGGGAGCCGAAGGTAGATGCAGTGGTTCCAGGTGAAGACAGTGTCTATATAAGGTCAGCAGACCTGATTTTTAGCCATATCACAGGACCGCTAAAATCACAATGGGCGCACTTAGACAACATTACGTAATATTCAATATGCCGAGAAGCAAGGCTCCAGCCATTGAGAACCCCTAGTCTGGGCTTTCACAATCGGCTCTCTCCTCAGACTCAGACAAGGTTCTATTTTGAATTCTAATGAGGATCAGCCACACTGAATATTTAAACTGCAATTACAAAGATCCCACTTTTATGTAAATGTCCTTAATACAAGAAACAGATCTGAAAATATATCGAGGAGTCAGGGAGACCCATCAGTCTAATTTGCCTTTACAATCTAGGGAAAAAACAGCATTATTTTCTACTTGATGTTATCACGGGGGTGAGGCTGGGAAAAGAAAAGAGGGGAAAAAAACACACAAAGATCTCAGGAAAAAATTTCAAGCGCAGGCTGTGGAGTGAAAAGGCCACAAAGAAGTGCTTGAGTCCTTTGTTAGCAACCGAACAAACAAATTCATCACCAGGCCCTTCTCCTGTGTGGCCCCTTGCGATTTGCTCTGTATTTATGACTAGAATTTCCCCCCTGCTCAAGCATTTATGACTGATATGCCAGGCTGGCATGAGGGATACAGACACGTCAGGCAAACAAAAAGGCATTTCATGGTTTACAACCTAGTTTGCACTCCTTTGAGGGCAAGGATGATGGGCCGGCTGCTTGCGTGAGTCTTCCTAGTTACGCAGTCCGAGAGTGCCATGTGAGCCGCCACCAAGTGACACTTGAGTGAGCTGATTAGATTAATTCCCAAGCCCTACACACCTTGCCTGCACGCATGTGCTCACGTTTACACAGAAAGCTCAGCCTTGCATCTGCCAAGAGTGGGTGACTCCTTTGCTCCTCAAAAGCCATTGTTACTGAAGCTGAAATGAATTTCCACAGCATTTGATACTAGCACTTAGGAAAAGGGAACAGAGTTGGGTTTTGCTTGTTTGTTTGACCTGGTTTGTCTTCTTTTGAATGGATGATTCTCTTTTGAAGGTACCAAAAATGTACACTTAATTTTTAGTTTCATTTATTTTTAATTTATATAAGTTCTATTTGGTACCCTTTCCAATAATATTGGTTACTTTATATAGTTTCCTGCTCTGTCTAGATCCTTTCAAGTCTTTTAATTTAAAAAGCAAAATTGAGGGCTGGAGAGATGGCTCAGAGGTTAAGAGCATTGACTGTTCTTCCAGAGGTTTTGAGTTCAATTCCTAGCACCTACATGGTGGCTCACACCCCAGTCCCATGGACTGTGTGCACAGCCGTGAGCGAGGCTGAACCCTTCCATCGCTAAGCTGCGTCTTGTCGGTAGTGATCACCATGACGAGGAGCGTGGCTGAGAAGTGGAACTGAGGCCATGACAAGCCCAACCGAGAGCCTCCCAGGTCTAGAGACTGGGGAGAGAAGGACGTGGCAGAGTTTGAAGCTGCCAGCTAAACACCCTAGGATGCTGCGAACCGAGCACAATGAGCCGGTCCGGCAATTTGCTGACAGAAACATGGACAGGGAAGGTAGGGTAGGGCTCACGAGGTTGTAGGGGATCCTGTTGAGACCTGCATTAGCGGCCATTCCTGTCAGATTCTGGTAATGAATCTGGCTTCAGTTCTCCTGTTTCCTAGAATTTGAGTGAGGATGAATGAAAAGAAATTAGAATAAACTGTTTGGTAGAGTTAATTTCAAAACAGCATGACATCCAGAAAGTGACATGGCTATTCCTCACTGCTTGTGGTGAAATTTACAGTGAGCAGAACAATGTGAACTGTACAGCTTTGCAAGGAAAGAGGTCTGTACCAGTCTAAGGTTCAAATAAGGTGGTGTAGATAAATAAGATATAACTGTTAAAGAGATAGTGCCATTAGAGAGAAACCTGGTGGGTTTAGGGAATGTAGCACAATTGGCAGAACATTTGTCTAGCACATGCAAAGCCCTGGGTTCAATACCCAGCAACACATAAGCTTGGCTTGGCGGTGCACACCTGGAGCCCCAGCACTTGAGAGGTGGAGACAGGAGGCTCATGAGTTCAAGTCCAATCTGGGCTATATGATGCTCTGATTCAAACAAACAAACAAGTCATACTTCACTGTACTAGAACAAGAGGAAAAACACCCCAAGAGCAATACCCTACCCATCAAGGTTCCAGTATTAGAAACTACAAAGCATTTGAAAAGAGAAAACCTGACATGAGAGTTCACTGAAGGGGTTCCCTGCTTAAAAACACCAAACCAAAGTGCCTAGGAAAGTATTTTCTCAGGCTCCCGCACAGGCGCATAGAGAACCACCGCAGCCGTGGTTCAGAGGCGTCACACCGCAGCCCAAGCTGCAGCAGGACTTGGCAACAATATCCATGAGGTGCGGAGAGGGTATGTGAACTGCAAAAGGCCATGAGGTCAGGAGGCTTACACCAAGTTTCCAGAGCTGGGAGCAACAGGGTGAGAGGTCAGTTAGATATAAATTCCCAAGCCTCAGAGGGAGCGGAGTCCTGTGGGACCCCTGTGCACTGGCACCTGCGGGACCACTGTGCACTGGCACCTGTGGGACCCCTGTGCACTGGCACCTGCGGGACCCTGTGCACTGGCACCT